AGAAAGAAGTGGCAAGAGTCACTGACCACCTCATGAAGCGCTACAAGGTGTCTGTGGAGGATGAGCAAGTGCTGAGTTTCTTGAAGAGGACCCTGATAGTGGATGGTTCAGAAACAAAGATGATGGTGAACGAGAAGTACATCCACAATCTTGTGAAGATGATGAGTCCCGTGAAGAGGTCAAGAACTCCAGGAACCGGAATTGAAGATGGAAAGACCATGGAGGAGGACGACTGGAGGAAGCCGATGTACAGGTCAGCAGTTGGAACATTGCTGTACATGGCAGGTGACAGGCCAGACATACAGTTCCATGTGAAAGAACTGGCAGGGCGACTCCAGAGTCCAACAGAAGGTGCATACAACCACGGACATGCATTTGGTGATGAGAAGTCGGACAAAGAGCAACTCGTTCAGGAACAGAACACGAGGTCTGACAACAGCACCTATGTTTGAAGAAGCAGAGCACATGTGGTTGCTGGAAGTAGCCTGCGATTCAGACTGGTCAGGAAACAAGCAGACAAGAAGCTCGACATCAGCAGGACGTATCTTCTTGGCAGGAAATTGGATCCACTCCTATGCAAGGACCCAGAAGAACATCACGTTGTCAAGCACAGAGGCAGAGTATGTTGCCTTGGTGTCAGGAGCTTCAGAGGGTTTGCTGTTGAAAGCTGCAGTCGAACACCTTACAGGTGAGCAGGTGAAATTGGTCATCTACGGCGACAACAGTTCGAGCATAGCAATCGCTCAGAAGGAAGGTGTTGGAAAACTGAAGCACCTAAGTGGCCGACTCCTATGGCTCCAACAGAGACAGAGCAAAGATTTAGATGTGAGGAAATTGGATACGGCTACAAATCCGTCTGATATAGGCGCCAAGACGCTTGGAGGCAAGCGCATCAACCTCTTGATGTATGTCATGGGTTTTACAGACTCCTCACAACAGCTTGGCAAGACAGAGTTCGAAGCAGAGAGGACAAAGGCTGAGCAGAAGAGGAGGTTGCAAGAGGTGAGAAGGATGGTGTTTGCAGAAGAAGGGACACCAGAGAAGAGCACCCAGGCGAAGCAGCTGGCAAAGAGATTGTTGAGGGTTACGATGACAGCATTGCTAGCAGATGCAACCTTGGGCCTGGCGACGGCAGAAGAGCAACAGCAGTGCTTCCCAGAGGACGAGCCGCAGAAACAGCAGCCAGAGGGATTGCTTGGGAGAAGGGAGACAGGAAGTGAGACGCTTGAGCAGGTGGTGATGGGATTGACGATCGCCATCGTGATCTTGAGCATTGCAATCCTGATCTCGCTGAAAGCCTTGAAAAACACAGCAAGAGAGTTGAGGAGACATGTAACCTCATGGCAGGCAGTGAGGAATGCCATTGGAGGTGATGAGACCTACTCCCAGACGAAGAACAAGAGAGGATTGACCTGAGGATGTGGAACGCTCCAAGGAGATGGCAGGAGAATCAAGGAAACACAGAATGGCAGAATTGGTCAATCTGGCCATCAGGGCACAGGACCAGACATGAGAATGATGAGACAAGTGAAGAACCTGAAGGTAGACAATGGGTTCAATGGGCTGGACAATCTGGATGAAGTTTCAGAGATGTGGTTGGCCCGCCGTGGGGCGAAGAGCAAGAAGAAGAAGCACAAGAACAGGATGGTGAAGTGAGAGTAAGCTCTTACATAGATGATGAGGGCTATGTGCACGAGACAGAAGTGCGTGTGAGAAGGGTGAGGATTGAGACAGAGGAAGAAAGAAGACAGAGAGATGAGGATGAAGAGTCAGAGAACAGCCTGACGACAGACTATGGAAGTCTGGAAGGGCACATCGAGCCGGTGGGTGACTATGAGCACCTAGAAGATGATGCCTACCAGGCATACAGACTTGAGCAGATTGAGAATGATGTGGGCATTGAAGCTTACATCATCATGAAGGTGAGACAATTTCGCCAGATGATGGAAGAAGACCCGGCGGATGAAGACATCCCCATGGGATACGAGATGCTCAGAGAGCTCCAAAGGATGCTGATGATCACTGGAGCAGAGACAAGAAAAGAGGTGACTGACTACGTCAGAAGCTTGAGGCAGTACACCTACCATGTGAAGAAAGGGCATGAAGATGTGAATTGCCCTTTGGAAGAAAGCGAATGGCCGGATGGCTGGATGGCTGCAAACTGGGGCCCACCAAGAATGCTGAGAGAGTGCAGAATGCCACCAAGAAGAAGACGAGAACGGAGATTGGGAGATGAAAGCAGTAGCTCTGAAGAGCACGACGCTGCTGTAGCTTTTGAGTTGGAGGATCAACGTCGAGATGACGTGATCCAAGACGAACCCGAGCCCGAAATCGAGTAAGTGCACCGTAATGGTGAACACCGAAGTGGTTTCGAGGCAAAGGGATGAGCTTTTAACCCTTAAGCCTCGAAAAGGCAGGGTGTGAATGGTTGACCATGACTGTGGTGACCGTAACCTGTAGGTTCAAGACCTCGCCAGCACAGGCGAAAACGAGCGTTCACGCGTTCATCCACGTGTTTTCATGTTTTCAAAAGGCCTTTGCTCATTGGTTTAGTATGGTTTAAGTTTAGCGTAGTTTAGCTTAACACAGATACTGGCCAGGCCGAGAGAGGAGTCTTTGAGTGACAGGCATAAAACGCCCTGCCTAGCTGTTCCCCATTGGGCCCTTCGGCCCAGAAGGTGGCGACGTCCGTTCTCTGAAGTGATCTCATCCACGTCGTTTTGGTTGAACATGGGTTATTATAGTTCTGGCATCGTAAGACTATTATTTGATTTCTTGGGGCGTATGCTTGGCAAAGTGGCATCGTGCACGCATTGGTCTTATTGGTCTTCTTGACCCAAGTTGGCTGCCGGAAGGTGCTTCAACCTTGCAACCTTGCAACCTGCAACCTTGCAAAACCCCATCAGCAGCCAAATCGATTCACGGGGAGGCCACGTTTCACGAAAATCAGTGACTTTTCATGATCTCATATGATCTCTCTTCGTGCGTCCTTTTGGGACGTACCGAACGGGCTGCGTTTCAAAGATCTCGTATACTACTACCGTCCATTGAGAGATTGCAATGTTGCCCGTCGCTGACAATGAATTGGCCTCCAGTGGAAAGGCAAAACAATGCAAACAAAACAGCACATCCAAAAGAACCATCCATCCAAAAGAAAGACAACCATGCGTTCGCATCGGACCGTCGAATCGAACACCGATTCTGGTCGAGAGGGCACGGGCCGTTAAGACCTGAGAAGTCAAAGGTCTCAAAGGTCAATGTCATGTTTTCTCTCTCTCTCTCTCTCTCAGGTCAAGGGCTCTTGAGAGTCTTCTCAGGGCTCTTCTCAGAAGTCAGAGGTCAAGAGTCAAAGGGCAAGGGTTCTCTTTCTCTCTCTCTCTCTCTCTCTCTTTGGGTGTTGGTGGTGGACAAGGTGCGGGTTGCGACGCAGCCATCGAATCTTTCGATGTCCTATCATCTCACCGGTCGGGCAAAAGTGGAGAGGAACAAAGAGATTCCCAGCGTCGGCCGTTCATGTCTTGAAACAGCATTGCGTTGTCATCTTCCTAATGGACTTTCACATAGTCCTGAAGTCCCTTTCAATCAGATAAGACAACGTTCGGCAGGATCTCAAGAATGAACGCCAAATCAGTCTTGGCCTCAAGCGGATGTTTTGTTTGATTAATAATCGCTGAAACCGACATTCCCAAACCCCGGATGTTTTGTTTGACAAGTAATCGCTGAAGCCGCCATGCCCAAACCCCAGATAATTCTGGTACACTTGGCTGCTGCTGCAGCTGCTGCTATCAAATGTTAAAATTCCGATAAATTCCGAAAGTAGGGGGCAGGGAACACAAGTATATAATACAATCGTGTAATCACCAGGAAGCGGTTTGCACAAAGTTTTTGCATTCAATTCGAGTGTCAACCAATTGTTCACCGTATCTTGTTGGAGATTCTTGGGAGATTGCATCCAACAGCGCAAGTTCGAACCACACAACAGCTTGGGGTTGGGAATCGGCTCGACTTTATTGGCTGTAAACGGCCTTGAGGCAAGCGACACGGGCAGCGCCAGTCTGATTGGGCATGCGTGCGGTCGCACATGGTAAGCTGCAAAGAAACTACACTCCAGCGGTCAGGAGGCACAAGTCACAAGTTTTTTTCGTGGTGCCAGCTCAGAGCATGTGATTGTTGACTCTGTGACAGCCAAATGCTCACAATTCAGATAAGCTAAGCCGCTAAGCTTCATACTTTGACGACTATATATAGATCCTGTACTACATGGGAAGTTTGACTGGCCATTCATTGTGATGGTCCTCTTGACCCAAGTATATATTCCAATGTATACAGGGTTCTTCGCGACTCAGATTTCTCACCAGCCGACTGAGATTGGGACAGGGACACCACAAGAAAGACTTGGTTCACCAATTCAGTACCAGTCGTTCCATTATGTCAGTCATGTGTTGTTCAGTGGTGCTAGCAACGGTGGAAGCCAAGAAGTGTACAGCTGGGTGGGCGCCCCGGATCATGGGACCCAGCCACGAACTTGCTCCTTAGACTAGAGGGTAGGCTTGATTTGAACACGATCCAGGGATGATGCTGATGATGATGATGATGATGATGATGATGATGTCTTCAATCAAAGGCGATGATGTTCAAGGAACGCTCAATATGACCCGTTTGTTAGGGGACATTTCGGATGAAATCCTCTCCAAGAAGCTGAAAGACTACGAAACCCATGGCCTCCAAACGGTCCTGGCGAGGAGAGCACCAAATGCTTCCTAAAGGGTCGGCAATGTAAAATGTCCTTGTTGATGTACGCAAAAAAGAAAGTAGTTCGAATCAGCATATATTAGGTTGGAGGCCATCGCTTTTAGGTTTGAGGCCGCTATTAGAAGTGTTGCTGAACAAACACTGGTTTGGTCAGGTGTCCAGCTCCAGGCAGCAGCTTTATGTTTGGTGCTCATGAAGCATCCTCGTACTCTTAGGCTCTTAGGTTTTCTGGATTTGTGGCGTGGGGCAGTGAACTTCGGGCTCAAGGCGGTGAATCTCCGTTTTCGCTTCCAGGATGGCAGGCGCAGGACTCAGAGAGGCAGGTTTTGGCCTGGCTCTATTGGCGATCAGAGGTCTGGCAAGGGTCCTGTAGGACCTCCCTTCCTAGTTTGCGTGAGTTCTCGCGCGTGACGACTTGGCTTGCACATGCTGGTTCAAAGAGACAAACAAGTACTGTAACAACTAGGACAAGCAGGGTGGTTGCACGAACCAGGCCTTGCTGCACAGCGCTTTGAAACAAACTTGTGACTTCGCATCATGGTAAACAACATGTACACTGTACACACTACTGCCGTGATCAACACATTAGACCATGCCATGCTTTTTCATCCTAAAGTGATGAGGATTCTAGGAGGGGAAGCCATGTATTATAGTCACCTCTCCACATCGATTGATTGAGTCGGCTTTGCTGTTTTCTACTATTTCAAACGCATGTGATCGTGTGTTTAAACCTCGTCGCGACCAAACCAACCTAGACCTCCGGGGGCTGAGCGCACCAAACTGAGCGCTCAGGTGTCCAAGACCTCCGGGCGCAGCTGCTTCAAGCGGAATCCAACCGCAAGGTGACAGGGATCCCCCGTTGTCCCTGGTGTGTTCTTGCGATTGCGCAGATTTAAAGGGAAAACGGGGCGCAGACTTTGCGAGAAGGTTGAGAGTTTGCGAACGTGATGTCCTCAGACTGAAGTCACATGACATCGACATCCCATTTTCTGACCCTGACCGGTTCAGGAAGCTTTGCAGATTCTATGCAGCCAACAGGACGCAACCGGATGCACCAGTCGGATTGTGTGGAGCATCTTCCTCGTGCTTCTCTTAAGACTCGATGAGTCGGGCCGACTCGCAGGCCTTGTTGGAGCAGTCGTGGCCGTGAATGGAACTGCATCTCTGAACCCAAAAAAGAATGAGACGTGCCTCGAGGTATTACCGTAACCCTGCCAACGCAGCAGAGCGTGATCTTCGGATCGTTGACCGGTGCTTTCCGTTAGGAGCAGCGAGCAAAGGCCATGGCCTCAGTGAGTTAGCAAATAAGACGACGGACAGGACGAGTGGATTCATAGACCCACCCCGGATTGGACATCCTCTTCATTATAGGGTTGTTAATCAAGAGTCTACAGGATGTCAGCCTGGTATGACTGAAATCAGTCAAGATATCAGTCGGGCGTAGCAGGCGGCGACGCCTACGCGCTGGTTGGGGCTTATTCTGCGCCACTAATACACAAAACACAGTCGGCAGATCAGATTTGTAGCAGAAAAATGAGGGCCCCTGAAAACAGGTTCTGGTGTGCTAGGAATGTACATGGCCTCGATCAAGAGCAGTGCAGGATGATTCGGATCTGAATTAAAACACAAACCGAACCCTGGCATCCTGAAGCTAGTTTCCACGGTTCCTAAGATGGTTTGGCATGGTTATTGAGTTAAGACTTATGTTAAACTATTCTTTTTACAAATTGCACAGAAGGTCGCCGCTTACCAGCAGCTGAATACTGTAGCCGTCTCTCTCTCTCTCTCTCTCTCTTTGTATGTATATATATATAATATATATATGTGTATGTATTTGAGGCTGCTAGTGTTGTGTGAATACACATTTTGTCAGTTCGCCACGCATGCCAACAGATTTGTAACATTATGTTGTTTTGGCTGTTCTTATTTATGTTACAAAGCACCTGGAACATCCAGGAACCACCGCACGGCCCGCAGGCATGTTCGATGTTTGACTCCTCGGTTGAAGCTCCAAGGCTTTGGAAGAGATGAACTCGCGAAAGGAGGAGAACGTGGTCGAACCCATCGAGTGAAGGGTTTCTCGCGAGGAAAAATCCACAGCTGGGCAAACAAGAATCAGAGGCAAACGGAAGGGTAGTGAACAGAAAGAGTTTTGCAAAAACCTATCCTAGTAACATCGTGGCTTTGGCGCGGGACCTTCGTGGAAAAGACTAGGCTATTCGACGGTTCGTGGACCGGTGGACGTAGGAAAACTGAGTGCAACAAAGTCCCAGAAACCGCAGACAGGAACGTTGATGTGGTATATAGTAAAAGTTTTGTGGTCGGGAAGGTATGCTCAGAAAGCGCAGCTGAGGGAACTAAAAATATGACACTTGCTGCAACAAGGTAGCCTTCAAACTGTATACGTTTAATTAAGAATCTGAGGATATCTTTCACCGTCCATTTTGAAGAGGTGGGCAGCCCATTGCCAGCCCATTGTATGACGGTAATTGATCGAAACTGGTTGTTGTTGTGGTGGTGGTGGTGGTGGTGGTGTGTGTGTAGCATTTGCATGATTTGCTTCAGTCCGGCAAATTCCGACGATTCAGCTCGTAAATTCATGCCCGCCAGAGCCGTATCCATTTGGAAGAGCAAATGCCTCTTAGTGGAAGTGTTTGCAAGATACCATTGACATGCACACAGATGCACGACCTCAACAGCCCAGCTCCGATGTGAGCATGTTCTTCAGCTCCCCAAGATCCACCAAGTTCACTCACAGCCAAACCGTTTGTACGTAGAGACTCGTAGAGAGGAGACACAGCCCGGCTGTCACCTCGCCGCCCCCCCATTCTCACCGAAAAGTGCCACAAAGATGGCGCTGCTGTCGCTCTTTTCACACCTGCAGTGCCTTTCCTCCTGTTTGGTCAGTGATTGGGAGAAGTGTTTCATTCTTCTAATATGAGTTTCTAATGTTAGCTTGCAATGCAACGGCAGAGGGTCAGTCAAACATCATCAAAGGATGTTCATCTCATTGCGCTTAATTCACGCTTTGGTGCACAGGATGCATTGAGAGAACCTGAAGCTTGTTCACACATGCCCACGCTGAGAGCCTCCATCAGAGCTGAATTATATACTTACACGACACTGTGAGGTAGCCTGGAGCAAGAATGCTTGTTTGTGGGCTTGCGGCATGACATGCTCCATACTCCCGCCTAGGCAATTGCAACCCTTAATCCTACTGTGGGGGGATTGTGGTTAGGAAATCGCTCTTAGGTTGGAGGCCATCGCTCTTAGGTTGGATTAGTAGCTCAAAATATATAATATTGTTTTCTTGGACAAACTTTCGGATTGCCCAGCTTTGCACCGCTGCATCCTCCTCACCAATGACCTTGGATAGATCAATATGTCCCCTCGGAGTGTTCCGCTCTAGTTCTGATGGCATGACCTTTGACCGAACCTATCAACGCTAACCAATGAGCCATCAAAGCTCTGCGAAGATGAATAAGCGTGGTCGCCCCTCCAATCCTACAATAATATTCAGCTATAGATGGCCTGCCTGGTCTCCGCCTGAGGTGCTGGGCGTGCTGTGGAGACATGGAGGACGAGGCTCCTGACCTTCAGGTGACTTCCTCCCCGTGGGCCGGGTTTGGAGGCTTTGGTGGAATCACCATGATGCGAGGAATGCGAGGAATGCCAATGTCTAACTTCTAATTGACGAAGAATCAGAACTTGGAAAGAAAACATGAGAATAGGTGAGGATCTCGAGATGATCCTACATTTGCCGATCATGTGTGCCTTTTTTCCGGTAGGTAAGCTGTAAACAGATGCAAAGGAGTATCAAACAGTATACAATCAGGTTCTTTAAGTTTTTCTTGCTGGGATCCTCCAGAAGGACTTCACCTTCTTTGCCTCGATGTGCGCAGGTCCCTGGACAACTCTTGCCAAAGAAGATGAGCTTTGCCCGAGGCAAGCGAGAACGCCTGAGTCGATGTTTGAGATTGAAGACAACGAGTATGTCTTCGAGTAATTAACCGGTTTGTTTCATTTTGTTTCATGTAACCTGTTGACCAGAGCACGAGTAGGCGTGTTCTGTGCTTTTCCTATTTGCCATATTCCCTTGTGCGCTCCCCGAAACGGCACAAGATGCAGTGGCATGTGGGCCTCTAAACTTCCTTGAGCAGCAAGGATTGTGTGGCAAATTCCCGTGCAAATGGCCCACGTCTCAGGACACCGCAGCACCTGGGCCATGGATGAGCGGATTGAGACCAAGCCCAGTGCACGGCGACAGGAACTGAAAGAGATGCTTGGACTGAAAAACCTTGCATTCGTTGGAGGAGTGTAAGGTTGGGGTGAGTTGGTTTGATGGTGGTTGGTGAAAAGTTGGATTTGTTGGTGACATGTTTGAGATGGTTTGATCATGATTGCTTTTGTGTACGGAGGTGTGGGCAAGTTTGTTTCAGCATGTTTTGCGATGGTTAGCTAAGAGTACAATCATCCTCGGCGCCTTGGAGACAACGGATACATCCTTTTTTGTGCCTGGTTTTTGAATGTTTGGTACCATTGGCAGATTGGAGCTCTAACTACTTGAATTATTTTGTCTTTTCAGGAAGACAACAATTTATGTCTCAGACGGTACGATGTTTGGGTCGCCAATTTTTGCAGTTCGCAACCAGGAAATTGCACAGAGGATCCGATTGAGAGTCGGCGGGGATACCTATCAAACAGAAAATTGATTCCTAGCAATAAAATGTTGATTCCTATTCCTATCCCCAAAAATACATGATTTCGTATCAAACGATTATTCACCCCTACTCCTTTGGTCCTGGTCTGCTGGTTCCCTGGTCGCTTGGTGCTCTGCTCCTGGTCCCTTGGTCCTTGGTCCTCTGGCCCTAGTCTTCGGGTCGCGTCAAGGGTGATTTGCAAATCTCCAGGTCATACATCCTGTGAAAGCACCGTAGCGGACCTTTTATCACCAGATGTGTGACGTAGCAGACCTTTTGTGAGCCATCCGACGGTTAAATTTAGACGAGGAAGGAGCCATTCCAACGTAGCAGACCTTTGATTAGCCTTGCGAGGGTAAAATTTAGAGGAAGAAGGTGCCACGCCAAGGTAGCAGACCTTTTGTGAGCCATGTGAGGGAAAAATTTGAGGAGTAGTAAACCTTTTGTGAGCCATGTGGGGGTAACGTTTAGAGGATTGAGGGTTAGAGGAGGAAGGTGCCATTCCGTCTTTACAGATCACGGTTGAGATGCAGGTCCAGACACAGATCTAGAGGTTTAGAGGTCTTGAGTGTGGAAATCTAAATTCTATAGGTCTAGACTTGTAGAGGGTCTAAGAAGATGTAAAGGTCAGGCCAGATCCAGAAAGACCCAGAGCGGTTTTGAGATGCAAAGAGAGGTCCAGAGGTCTTCAGATCCAGACATTCCCAGAGCTGTTTTCAGAGGTCTTGAGATCCACAGAAATGTTGCGCCTGCCATGCAATCTGCACTTCGAAGTTCACAATCGCTGCGCCTGCCACGCACTTCGAAGTTCGCAATCGCTGCGCCTGCCACGAAATCTGCACCTAGAGGCTCACCCAGCGCCGCGCCTGCCACGAAATCTGCACGTCAAGATTCACACCGCGCAGCCCTTCCAAGGCGGTTCGCAGTGGCGGCGCAGCTCTTTGTGAGTGGATTTGTTGTGTTCGATGTTATTTTTTGCTTTGATATATCCTTTTTTGTTGATAGCCCGGCCGAGTCGGCGAAAAGAGAGCTTTTTCTCGATGTTATATATAGTGCTTCATTGTTTTTTTTGTTTTTGTTTACCTATTTTTTTTGCCAAAGGCTCTTCCCCAACCTTTTCGATCACCCAATACACCAATCGGCTGGACACATCGGGGCGGGGCAGACCGTCAGCTTCTGGGGAAGAGGACCAAGCCTGAGGAACGTAACCCCCCTTGGGCCTTGAAGAAGCTTTAAATCTCCCGGTGCAGTCCCCTCAGACTAAAACTTCTTGAATACATTCTGTGGTGGGTCAGGTGGCGCTTGGAAGTCTATTCTTGCACGTGAGTTTCCAGACATGCATGACAGGATTGAAAATGCCCTAGAATGCCAATATATGCCAATATATAATTACTTTAAACAGTCCATGCTTCATCATTGTTTCCCTTGTGAAATGTCACTAAGGACGATGAAACTCTTTGCCACCCGTGGGATGCAGGGCGTGCCTGTTCAGCTCTTCGATGAGCCCCTGGGCCACAGCAAACAAGAATGAACGACGTGACGTTCGGGTCTCGGGGCGCGCGCAACAAGTTGGGTGCATGTCCACTTTGGCTGGTCATTTTGGAGAGTTCATCCGTCCACACACATTGGACAGCTTGGCTCGTCATTCATCATTTGAAGAGTTGGCCAATTCAAGGAGCTCTGGCAGTCTGCATGCGGGCACCTATCAGATCGATGATCGGCTACGTTCCATTCACATCCTGCCCGAGGACTTGGTGTGAGTAGGAGATGTACTTATATATATATATATTCATTCATATCGACAAAACCTAGTGCATACTAAAGCAATCACAGGGTGGTCTTGGGATGTTAGACACCTGCATCAAACCTGCATAACCGATGGGCCTTTCGCTGTGCCAACCACTTCAGGAAGCATGCTGCCACGCTACATGTGTAGCTGCCGCAGAACACTTGGTATGTGTTTCTTCTCATTTTTGAGTTGCTTACACCAGCATGCAAGACGTGTTGCAAGACCTACAAATTTCCAACCACTGAATAGTTTTACCGCCGTGCCTTGCCGATGCCCCAACCGATGCCGACCAACGCCCACTTTGAAACATGTTCGAGTCCATGGAAGAGCAACTCCCCCACAACTTCTACAACCACTACGTTTTGAACATGTTCGTGCCCATGGAGCAGCAAGCCCCAACAACTTGCACAACTACTACTGCAGTTGATTCATGCCCTCACTCAGTGGGTGCCAAACTATGGTAAAAGATCGGCTGCCTTGATATTGCATGTAGGAATGTTCGTGGCTGCGGGAGAGAGACAGGGAGAGGGAGAGGGAGGCTGAGAGGGCGTGCAAAAATGACAAGTTTGTCAAACAGAGGGTTACAAACATGTTGATCATGTTGTAACAATTGTGCATGCATGGTGTTCATGTGGTTCTTCAATTGGACACCATATACCAACTCAACTGTTCTGGGCCACTCTTCTTCAATATCCGCCATGGTGGCCAGGACACCGCTGATTCTAGCGCCTACAGTCGCCCCTCGCACACGGTCATGTTCAGCCAGGCCGGTCGGATCGGGTCGGTCCACGCGACACCCCATGGCCTGAGGCTTCAGAGTAACACTGGTCCGTGGTTCCCAGAGTAGCACCCCACAGTCGATCCTGAGTCTGGGACACCGTCCCCGGATGAAAAATCCGCGGAAAACTCGTCCTCACCGGTCAGATCTTGGACGTGGGCACTGGCAAGGAAGTCATGTCACACGTCGAGCCAGGCACGGAGCCATCGGGCGAGCAAGCAGAGATAGAGAGTTACAAGCTACAGGTTTCAGAGTAGTTGGTAGAAACCTTGACCTTTAGAATCTTTAGATGGGGGTCCAAAATGGTCCACATAAAGTACCAAACTTGGGCATTGCACCATCTAGTCTCAATCCTATAATTACATAGAAATTCGTTCAACACACCATTGGAGGAGTTGCCCAGTGACACCCGCCACAAAGAACATCGATGTAGGTGAGTGGCACAAATGAGCCTCGACAGTCTTACAGTCTTGCAGGTATTGATGGGTATGTTGGGTTGTATTGCCAAGCCAAGTATGTATTTGCACCCTTGGCAACATAAGGGGCAGTCAGCAGAGCGGCCTGCAGCAATTCTGCAGTCCACAAGACTTCACGGGACCCACCTGCAGTCCATGTGTTTCATGTCGCTTCACCTGTCGGTTCAGTACCGATCCACCGATCCACCGTGTGTTTGGATCGGAGCGAGACCCTGGCTGAATGCGGGAGTGGCTGAAAGTCTTCGCTTTAAGCTGATGAAAAGATAGGTTCTTGGATGAATTGGATTGGATCTTCTTTGTATGAAGATTGTTGCCGCTCCTTGGTCCCAGGTGCTTGGACAGAGCTCAGCCCTTTGGAAAGAGATCGGCTGCTGGTCCTGGTGCCTTAGCCAGAAACCATCAGAAACCATGTGAAGGCTATAGTTATAATATACATGTGCACTCCCTGAATAATCATGCACATTAAAATAGACCCTTGGATGGCCATTTTCCTGTCACTTCCACGAGTAAGATCTTTGAGTTGGGTTGCATGGGGTCATGCGGCAGTTCAACAGTGCCACATTTCTGAAGCAGAATCAGAAAGTGAAAAGTGGATTCATTACTGAAGTATGCCCATTTACTGTAATGTGTACACGTAGCTTGTGCATGCTTGTGCCATTGATGACTGTTTGTACCATTTTGTGCATGTCGTTTGTGGCTCTCGCTGCGCAACAAAACACGGATGGTTTACTCATGCCTTCCAAGAACGTTCAAGGTCTACAACATCGAGACACCTGAGAGCCTTTCTGCTGTCGATTGCCGGAAGGTCTTCTTCTTGGAGCCTCGGAGAGGTTCAGTTCAGCAGTTCAACTTTGGACTCTTGTGATCCACCCGGTCTAAGCCTATATGGTCCTCAAAGGCATTAGGAGAGAATATGTTAATTTTGAAGAATGAGAAGGATGCTTCATCGGTCATTCTTAGAGGAGTCTCTTGTCGATTGGTGAACAATTTAATTTGTTTGGCCAAATTGAGTCAGTTTGACCCGAGTGGATTTATATAGGTGTTTGGTGCTACAGCCCATTCTTGGAATCACCGGCTGTAGCACCATGAGTCACCGGTCATGACTCACACAGCTAGTCAAGTCGAGTCTACACCGGCATGACGAGAAGCTCTCGCTGCGACTCGGATGTGCCCTGCGAGCGACACCAGGAAACCGACACCGAGAGCAGCAAGATCTTCGCTTTGTGCGTCAGGCGCGCTGGTGGGGCCCATGGGGGCCCATCACCCAGCTACGTCTCACGTGAGGCTTAAAGCCGAAGTAAGATGGATAAAGGGAACGAAAGGATAATAGAGAGAGAGAGAGAGATCTCAGTCATGTCAGAGTGGCTAAGGCTGACCATGCTTTTGGAGTCTTTTGTCAGCATTCTGTCAAGACACGTGCGTGCATTCGACAGGATTTTGCGGCACTACATCGAGGATATCAAGCAGCCTGAGCTGAGATCCATTTGACCCAGCAAAGAAAGGGTGCGAGTGCAGGCTGTTTTGGTGGCATATCATGATCATCATGGGGTGGGTATGGGAAAACAAAGTGGGTATATAAACATGCACACACTTGACCTCCTGCGAGCGTAGTTGAAGGTGACCAAGGTGGTTCAAAGCGGGTAAACATACACACGCTGTGCAGAAACACTGTGTCACGCCACTGCTCCTCAAAAAGGACATCAAAACCAAATAGCGAGAGAGGTGCGTGCTTGCTGTTGACGCCTGGGCTTGCGTTGACCTGGCACGCGGGTGACGCCTGCCGGGCCTGCCGGTTCACCCTGGCCCTGTCATTTGGAGATGACAACTGGTTTAGTTGTGGAGAGGGCACCACATTGCAAGACCATCCAAAACGCCTGCAGAGTCATCCCCCCATCCTCCCGCAGAATGGGCCGGCCGCAGGAGCAGTTGGTGAAGCTGCCAGGGCCCAAAGTCTGGGAGACGAAGTGAGATCTTTGGAGACGACTCACGTCGTCCCAACTGACTGGATGTTGTTGGTGTCCAAGTGACTGGATACGCAGATGAAGACAACTGCTGTCCAACTGACTGGATACTCGGTGTTCGAAGCTGGTGGCTGGTCAGCTGGTCAGCTGGTTGTTGGATGTTGTTGGTCCCAACTGCTGTGATTTTTCATGGTCCAAGCCCTTGTGTCAGTGAGGGGATGCTCAAAATCCTTCACTTGTGACGATTGACGCCCTTATACCTTGGCGTGCTTGGATGTTTTGGTCTTCTCGAAGTGTGGCCTTGCACCACTGAAAGGGGTTGCACAGAACTGTTGGAATGACCCGGAAATGTGCCGCTTGGCCCTCTCATCATGTCATAGATCGGTTTGTCCAGTTCGTGATTGTTTTACTGCATAAATGTTTTTGTCTTTCCACTGGGTTCCTGTCCCAGAATGTCCCAGAGGGAGAAACAGGTGGGCCAGGTTTTCCAAAAAGAATCATCCAAACCCTGGCACATGAAGATAATGGTTGATGTGCTGTTCACTGTTGGGGCTGTTGGGATGTATATGCTGCTCCAAGTGCCTACGTCATAATATGCAATAGAATCTGTAGGCTCCAAGCACGAGTGAAGTCACCTTGTGAGCAGCCCAAGCTGCGCAAACTCATCCTGGTGCCCCCACTCAATGCCTACCCACCTAGGCACAACCGCCTGCAAGAGGCTTTGACGGTGCTCCAGGTTTGCGGGGCTTTCGGCCAGCTACAAAAACAATTTAAACAGCAGCAGTTCACAAGTAGCCAACGGTAGATTGTGTTTGTTGCGCCTTTTATGCTGTTGCTCCTTTGATGGTTCAACCATGTTCAACCTATCATCCACTTAGTTGAGTTTAATTGTTCGTTGATCCATCAGATGTCAGCGTCGATTCTGGCGACGCTTCTCACATGTGCTTCTCGAAAAGAAAAGACTGTTGCGGAACAGGAGGGTCAGAAGATGTATGCCCAACAACAGTCGAACTGGCTCGTTTCTCGCGAGAGAACCAGAACAGGGCTGCACTTGGGTCGGGTGGTGCACCAGCTGTCCGCTGGTGGTCTCTCCGAGACCGATGACCTGCCTAAAGCAGAGGACCCAGTCGTTGATTTGGAGCAGCGTTCCTCAAAACGATCTAGCATAAGAAGAAGCTCCCGAAAGAATCAATGGAAGATGATACACCAAGTCTGTGGATTGGGAGGTGTTGCAGTACAATTTGTCACAGAATCGACGAGATTCGGCCAAAAAAAAAACGAGTGTCGGAGTCCTCGGAAGCAGAGAATGTATAGTCTTGTGGTCCCCTAAATCCTTGAGAACGCACTTGATGCGTATCTAGAGTCTATAGAGGTCAGTCAGTTCCGGCAACCTGCGGATAGCCCTGCTATTGCAGACCAGACGCATATCACAGCAAAGGGTCTGAAGATGAATGCGCTAGACCGGTCCCGCCCCCTAGAACCACGAGATTTCTGGCAATCCCGTGCGCACGCGGGGAATGTATATCCTTAATATTATTAACGTCAGAATATTGGTTAATTAAGGATATAGACGATTATGTTGGGATTAATTAATCAAGGATTGGTCATTTTGGGAATGTATATTATTGTTTTTGGGGGGTTCCGACATACCGACATCGCCCGCTGGCACCCGCAACACGTGCACGTGAACGACCAATGACGGTCATTGTCCGCATTTGAGAGGTGTTCAAGGAAGCCACGAATGGCCGCCGCAGCTCGAAATTCCTGGATCGTGGGATCATGGCCTCGACATGCCAGGCAGCAAATGGATGCCTACCAGCAACAAATCGAGAAGCTTTGCTAGGATCTTAGAGCCACAGGTAGTTGGTGGATGTTGGGGGGTGGTGTGGAGATTATATCCTTCACCCAAATGGTACCACATTATGCTGTGGTGCAGCTGGGGTGTCCACGACACTTTAGAACATCAACATCCTGTTTCAAGTTGAAATTGCGGAGTTTCATCCCTCGCCATTCTATGATTTCTATGGCGAGCTAATTCCCAAACGGGCCCTACGAAATCAGCCTCCCACCAGCATGGTCATGACAACCACCTGTGGTTTGAGCATGTGAAGGCCGAGCATGGCACGTGATCATATCCACTATATATAGAATTACATGGCTGGGTAGCGCTTGTTGATGCCCGGTCTGCGCTGAGGCCAGAGCAAGAGCCCAGTGAAACTCCATCAGAGCAAGCATCCGTCGGAGGCATTCGTTCGTCCCTCTTCCAGGACACAGGTGTCCTGAGAAGGGATTGTGTTTTGCACCTGGAAGGGCCAAATGCACAAGCATAATAGCATAGAACTTGGCGTCACATGTTGTTCTTTGGACTGTAAGTGGATCGGGGAGCGGGAGACTCTCGCTTCAGGCTTTTCGATCATGCCGTTTCATTGACTCAATGACGGACGGACAAGAAACACCGACTGCTTTAGAACTGAACATAGGTGTTTTAGGTTTGCGACACATGTTCAGCTCTTGGACTTTGGTTGAATTCCTTGCAAAGCCAACAATCGGATCTGCTAGGAGCGGCCCTCCCCTGCGGCAGACGAGGAGTATGGTGAAACCATCTGAAACCCGTCCCATGTCCTTCCGAATGATGTGAGAATGTCCACCTATCATTAATCAATGTTCCCCGGCATGTAACTTGCTAAACAAAAAGTAGCCGCGCCCCCCCTGAATCTTCCTGCATCCTGTGCACATAATGTTAAAGCCCATCCCCCCCAAAAAAGAACAAAAGACGATGAGCGAAGGGTCACCAGTGGGACCAGTCAAGCAGAACAGACCTACTTGTAAGGCCTAAACCATGTGGGAGTTGATCAAAAACCCCGTGTAAGGAGTTTTCTATAAAACAGCCTTTCAGATGTTGTTAGAACCATCCGCGAAAGATTCGCGATGAGGTTTGCGAAAGTACACCGAACAAAAAAGTGAGTGGCACAACTCGGAAAGAACGGGAGGGCGAGTAGATGGTACCTCGGGACACGTTTTTGGCCCCATTTCAGGGGGGGGTAGATGGCACAAGGTTTTTCATGGGTAGTGATTTTGGGGAACGGGGCCACCAAAAAATAGATGGCACAAGGTGATTTTTGCGCTCCCGTGGGGAGTAGGATGGGTGTGCGTTCAGAATTGATGGCGCAAGCCATCCAGCCTTTTGATTTCCTGTGGATTCCTTTCTGTGTCCATTCATGGCTATGGATTTCCTGTTGGTGCCTAGTGATTTCCTGTTGAAACCATTTGATTTCCTGATGATTGCTATTGGTGTTCCTTGTGGTTCCTTTTGGTTTCCTTTTTGATGTCCCAGTGAAGCCTTTCCATTTCCTGTTGCTTCCCTGTGTGGGTAATGAATTCCCCCCCCCCAACAGGGTCAGGAAAATAATAGATGGCACAAAGGACAACGCGCTCCCACACTGGGAGTTGTGTTTCCTTTGTTTCACTTCTCCTTTACCTGCCCTTCCCTTTCCTGTTCTTTCTTGCTCTTTCCTTTTTGTGTCCTTTCCTTTCATCTCCTTTGCTTTCCTGCCCTTTCCCTCTCCTCTCCTTTCCTTCACTTCTCCTTTCCCTCTCTTTCCCTTGCCTTTCCCTTTTCCCTTCTGCGTCCACTTCACACTCCATTGGCCTAGCTTTCAGACCAGTGCACGATAAGAGCCAAGTAGATGGCGCAATCTTAGCCCTCCCAAGTCTGGAAAAATAGATGGCACAAAGAAAATGAGCTCTCACCGGTAGAGGCTTGCAGGTGCCCAAAATATTGATGGCACAACCCTAAAAACACATTCCATCTACTATTTTTGCGGAGTATTTTTTTCCACAAAAGAGTTACCGAAGGTCATTGCTTTCATATGTTTTCCTTTCTACCGGACTAACAAAGAATAGAAACACAAGGCAATCCTCTGGCAGAGCCGGTGGGCGGAACTGACTATCGAACTGAGGCCTCAACATTTCCGTGCCCAGCCCCGGCAGTGATTCTCCGATTCCTGTCCCCACTGTCACAGACTAGCAACCTGAGTAGGCACAGCCCTGACAGTCAGGCAACGACCTGCAGCTGCTCTGACGGGCTGTGCAGATGTTTGCCAAAGTTACGGCTTCCTGCATAAAGCACCAGTGAAATTTCGCGAAAGATCCGCGAAAGTTTCGCGAATGTGCCGCTAAAGTCCAGGTTCCCAGCTTGAGGCCCCCCCAACATTCCCCAAGCTGCATCACCCTGTGTTGGTAGCGCCTGATTCTATTTGGCACAATTGTCGCACAGATGCTGCAAGTGACCCTGGGTAGCTGTGGAAACGTTCAAGCTTCTACTGGGGTCATGCTGCAAGATGTTTGTCCCTATTTTGTGATACTATGACATGTTCCGGCTCATGTTAGCTAGACTCTAGACATGGTTGTAGGACCATGCTCCGCGAAAGATCCGCGAAAGATATCTTTTTTCCGCGAAGAATGGCCATTCCAGGATGAAAGAATATTGATCAACCACCATGTATATACATGGAGTCAGCCCAAAAAGAAAGTCAATCCAAATCCACTGGATGCAAGACCAGCTGGCTCGAGCGTCTTTCGCCTTGGCCACCCTGAAAGTATACAATAGGTCTCCACACATATCCAAAGCTCTAATTCTTAGAGCTTTTGGGGCAGGTGTGGATGGAGTTCAGGTGCTTGAGCTGTTTTTTGATGAAGAAACTTGGGTTCTTTGCATATCTAGGCTCTGCAGATCCTGCTGTGCTCTATCATATCCCCACCATCACTGAAGGTTCGCACGTACACAGTCCACCTATGATTGCTAAAGGTATCCAAAATAAAGCAATGCATACCCCAAAAGGGCACACATAAATCAACACAAACAAACATAACACATTGAAATATGTTATATAGGCAGCACTGGGAATCCCAAAATCTTTGGCAAACATCCTTTGTTAGGTTTCTGTTTCAACAAAAGCCACAATCGACTGCCACAAAAAGAAACTGGAAAGGGTAAGCCCCCATGAAGGCCCAATATAGTAATTGTTTAATCAGTAATCAACCCTCACCCTGAAAACAGCTTGAGGTGTGCTTTTGCTTTCCAGATTTTGGGCATCCGTTTTCCCTGTCCAAATCTAAATTGGATGGAGCACCAGCCCACATCTGTTGTTTTTGTTTAAACGTCAATATGTGGTGAAGGAATCAACCGAAGATCTTGGCACAACTTCCCTGGTCGAGACTTTGTGGAGTCATTATAAGAATCACCCCAAATAAGTTTCCGGCACAAAAAAACATCAGCACTAGATTTAGTCAAGACAAATAATTACAACTCATGTCCTGGGCATGCGTTTTGCCTTGAACAGCCGCTTTGTGTATGAAGGAATTGGTAAGCAAGCTGTTGGTTTTGGTGAATGCGTTTAAAGAAGACCCTTTGGGCTGGGATATCCGGTCATTTGGACCGGAGCTGCTCGGTCTTTGGTGGACCAGATCCAGAAATCTCCAAATTCCTATTATACAGATCCTTTCGGTTGGAATTGAATCACAATTGAGGATTATGAAGATATTTACATGTATGTATATTTATGTGTTTGTGGTCTTCCATAGTTGTTTCTTGTTTAAAGATATTTGAAGACCGTGGCTCAAGATCAGGAGAAATCCAGGGCTAGAGATGAGGACGGGCTACAGAAACCAGTTGTTTAGGCTGCGTTTATGCATGCAGCCTTCATGCATTGCGCCTCACCGGATGGGTGGGCAGGAAGGATTCCTCAAGAACCCGAGGCGGAATTTCAGCCTAAGGTTCTTCTCGAGAACGTAAGTAAGTTTGGAACTTTTAAGCATGGAGGACCACTGTTGATTCACCGGTCAATGTTGACTTTGTAGGCCTTCTTGGCTTCGAAATGCAGTCTTTACAAGGTTTGGTTGAAGGGATTAACTTTCGTCCTTGCTCCTAGTAGCGATGCCAGGAGCCCCTAGTAGTTTCTTGTTCCTAGTAGTAAGGCCAGGAGCCCCTAGTAGCGTCCTTGCTCCTAGTAGCGATGCCCTTTGCTCCTAATACAAGGCTGTAGTAGTACAAAGTAGCCCCAAGTTCGATTTGCGTTTGCAGGTCCTGCTTGTGTGACCACAATGTTTCGAGGAGAAAGCTCGCGCAGGCAAGCAGGAGGAGGCGGCATGTCTCGGATGGGTGGGAACATGTGGGACCTCATCCATCCCCGACCTCAACACAGGTCAGTCAAGAAGCCAGAATTGAGGTTTGTTACTAGTAGCTTCTTGTTACTCGTAGCGATGGCCTCCAACCTACTTGCAATGGCCTCCACCTAGCATGGCGTCCCTGCTACTAGCGTCTCATCCTGAGTTTGGTTTGAGATAGTGATTCCATCGTCAATGATCCAGCCCGAAGAGGTCTCATGTTTCACACGGACAAATGGACAACGGGAGAACACGACGTTCCGGTTCCACGAAAAGGTCTTGCTCGTTCTGCTTGGGTTTCACAGGTTTGGGGGAGTCCATTTTGTTCTACCGCCAGATGTGTTCCAGACGAAAACTCTGAAAACTCCTCAGGAAAAAGAAAGCAGCACAAAAACATACCAAACCACCTTGTGAGCAGCCAGGAGAAAGCGCGGGATCGAGAGGCAGAGCCAGATGATGAGTGTGCATGGCTGCACGTGGGTGTGGTATATGTGCTTTCGAGGTTGGTTCGACAGTTTCAGGTGGACAAAATATGAGCCAATGACGGCAAGTCCTTCAGCATTGAGTCACCAACTGTTTGAAAGTTCAGATTTGAACATTCAGCCGATCAACCTGGTTGCAGTATTGTCGAAAATGTCGTATAGTAGCAGTATATTGGGAGTTGCCAAATCCGATATCTCCCCCCGCAGGAGAAGGCCGGGCATGAGGCAGGACCTGGGACATTCTTGGGGAAGTCATGTGCAAGGGCATCATGGAACTCACACGGGGTGGGATGAATGATATTATTTGCTTGGAGAATCTTGGAGATACGTCCTTTGTGAGAGTAGCCAGCACAGCTCCGACTCAAAGACCAACGGAGCATTGAGAGCCCTTAACGAGGCAAAGACACGCAAGGCATTTGCTGGAGGGATTGTCGGAATCTAGGCATGTAGCTATGGCAGTAGCTGATTGCAGTGGCTGTTTTTTCCCTCAAAGGACTTGTTGAGCGAAGACATCAACGAGTTTCTGGGCGTTGGGCTCCTCAGGTTTGGGGGTGGGAGTGGAGCATCCGAGCTGGCGGCACGCGCGTTTTTTCGCGAGCTTCTATCATGTTCTATCCTGATGGAACATTGCCGGTGACGGTGGCGAGATTTCATGAAGGATTATTCACTGTAGTTTTCACTGTTGAGATCAGCTGTCATCACTTGCTCACTTGCTACAATCCAAACGAGGGTAGATTGCAAACTGTTAGGGCTTTGGGGGTTAGAGATGTTTCATTCTCAGTGGCGAAGACCAGAGCCCCCCAGCGCCCTTTTCCCAACTCAAAGCCTTCGACGTCCAATCCTTTCGCCTCTCACTTCCGAACCATGCGCGAGCTGGTGCACGTTCAGGGAGGCGGGGTTAATGTGGATCTGGCATTCGTCATGGAAAGGGGAATGAAAGGCAACTCTGGGCTTTTGGGGGTTCGACCCACTAAGTTTAACAGGAGATGCTACGAGCCCTGATCAAAGCAGCAAGCAACATAAGGGTAAAGCACCTGTGCAAGGAAGCAACTTTGCATCCCACTATTTATGTAATTAGCTTCGAAAGGAGCAGCCAGATCAGTCATGCATAGTTGGGGTCCATGTCAGGAAGGTGATGCCTGACCGTGCAAACCAATGCAACCGCAACCCTGTGTGCATACTACTAAGCCATCCTATACTGATCTATACTGTGCAACGCAAGCATATGCCCGCTACAATGTTTTGCTACAATGTTTTGCTACCTGTCCAGGCCAATGTGGAAACCAGATCGGTGCAAAGTTCTGGGAAGTGATTGCCGATGAGCATGGTATCGACTCTCAGATTGAGTCTTTAGCGTGACGGTTTCGGTTTTCAGCCGAATACAGCGTGAGTTCAACCCCCCGAGACTGCTCCGTTTTCGGCACTCCTTCGCTACCTCCGTCACGCCTCGCAACTTCACGGTTTCCTGCGCCTGCCACGAAAATCTCACTTCCACACCTCAAAACCCGCACAAAGTACTGCGCCTGCCACGAAAAGTGACCATATCATATCATGTGAGCTTCAACCAAATTTGCACCACACCACTGGTTTCGACCCGTTCTGAGGACACTCCCATCCACCAAAATCACCATTTCAGCTGAGACTTGTCACGAAAACAGAGCTTCGATGCAACACCCTGAAACGCAAACCTCAACGGCACGGCCACATCCAACACCCCCAAAACACCACTCTCTAAACGCTAATCCCAATGGAACTGCGCAGAAAACTGCGGATCTCACAAAACGCTGCGCCTGCGCAGTGAAATCATCCTCCACACGTCAACATCTTACATTTCTACACGTTTCCGCGCTATTTCACTTGAATCTGACACGTCACGTTTCCATCCCAAACCCTCTCCAAAAGGCAGCGGCCTTAGCGCCGTACTGCGGTCACTTGCGGACGGTTGCGAACGCTGAGACAACACGTCGCGAACAAGGCTCTACCCCCAGACCCCCAGAGTTAAACGAGAACCCTTCGCTATGAGGGTTCACAAGCAAAGAAGGAGGCAAAGATAATTTTGAGGGAATTCAATATCACTGAAAAGAATCATTAAGCCAGGGAAAGTTGCTGACATTATTCTGGGGGCGTTTATTGGTCAGAGGTCAACATTATGTTCTGTGGGATACGCACATCCAAATAATGATAAGACATAAGAAACATCAGCAAAATCACGAAATCATAGGCATCAACTGAAGAATGATAGGACAGGAATCAACCAAACCATGTTTTCGAGCCCCTTGGTCCGCTTGGTCCTCATGGTCCGTCCCCTCGTCCTTGTTGGTTCTCACGGTCCGTCCCCTTGTCCTCACCCCTTTTTCTCTTGCGAGCTTCGGCCCTGCCACTGCCACAAAAGATGTTTATAAGAAGTTGATATATGTGCAAGGTTTGGATAATTCATGCTTGCCTCAAAGATATTTATATAACATGACCCCTCAAATGACGTGTAAGGCCGCCGGCCTCTTGTGGGTTTTGCTCTGGGGGGGCAGGGGGTACAAAAGGGTTTGATAAAAAAATTTTCTTCACCTTGGAAACCATTTGGAATCCGAGGATGCCCACAAAACCTTTGTGGGCCAAGTGCAGGGTTAATTTACATAGAGGAGGATGGAAACAATCCTAAGGTTACACTTAGACTTACACACCTGTATGTATATCACCCGAAGGTAAGAACACGACTTTCAAACTTTACCTTTTTGTGGTGCTGGGCCCCCAATGCAGTGCAGCCAACAAACCTGCTTTGCTGTAACTACCAGCAGTTCAACAAAATGTGTTTGTTGATCCCATTTGATCGTTATCAATTTTGTTTTTTGATACCCATAAGTCTATAAATATATCATATGGTTGGTTTTGCATGTCCTTTTTTGATCCGTCACAAATTGACAAACATGAAAAACAATAAACTTGAACATTTGCATGAGATAAATTGCATTGTTTTTAAAGATGTCTTTAGGATTGTAAGGAGAAATCATTTGACGTACTTTGATTTTTCTAACAGTTTGTTTGCTACTTGCATGAACCAGCGTCAACAACACTGAGCGCCCGCACTTCATTCAAGATGAAACAGCTGGCTACCCCATCGCCGACCGGCAAGGATCCCACAGGTACCTACCATGGGGATAGCGATTTGCAACTCGAGCGCATCAACGTGTACTTCAACGAAGCCACCGGTGGTCGCTACGTGCCCCGCGCCGTGTTGATGGACCTGGAGCCGGGTACTATGGACAGCGTCCGCGCGGGGCCCTTCGGACAGCTCTTCCGGCCGGACAACTTCGTCTTCGGGCAGACTGGAGCAGGCAACAACTGGGCCAAAGGAGACCCGGAGGGACCCTGTTCAGGGGGGTTGGACCCCATAAAAGACAGGGAGCAGGGGGGTTGAAGAATGTTGAATGTGGGGAACGATGGCCTTGGCCGCCTTGGCCATATGAGTTGTTGGCCGGAGAAAGGAAAGCGGAGTCGAACATGACATCTCATGACAATCGCATGCCTGGGTAGAGGAAGCAAGAACATCGGTGCCTCATGACCAATCTTCATGAATGAATCAAGTTTGGGACAATATTATATACAATAGATTGATGCTTGACATTTACCATGCAACTTTGTACCACGGAGCTGACCTGACTGGCGATTGGCTGCATCGTCTCGGCAATGAGCTGAGTCGGTGCTCTGAGTCTGTTGCATGCTGGATGCTGGTTGCTGGCTTTGGTTCACTGTGCATAGATCAACTCTTACCAAGTTACTCCAAGGAGTTCTTGCAAAGCTCAGCAAGTTCTGCCGGATAAAACAGATGATGCCCCTCCCCCACAGGATCAACATGAAGTTTCAAGACGATGCCGTTCTTCACGATTTCGGGTGCACCGGGTCAAATTTCCAAAGCCGAGTGAAAATGCAACAGCGATGATATTGCAATTGGCCACCGCACTCCTGCGAAGGTTGCGGAGTCTCAATACTGCAATGTAGAATAAGAAAAGTAGACCCTTTTCCCTGTTGAAGTATTTCTTCCACTCTATTTTGCCAGGACACTACACTGAGGGGGCCGAACTCATTGATAGTGTTTTGGATGTCGTGCGCAAGGAGGCCGAGGGATGCGATTGCCTCCAGGGGTTTCAGCTTTGCCATTCCTTAGGAGGAGGCACCGGTGCGGGCATGGGCACGCTTTTGATCTCCAAGGTGCGCGAGGAATATCCAGAGCTTTGGCTGTGAAGTCAGACATTGCTTTGGAGTATGAACTAGAATATAATAGATTTTGAAAGGGGCTTAAATCGACGAAGCAAATAAAAATCAATGAGGTGGTTTGCGGTCATCTTGATTGTGCCATGTCTTCATGAGACCTGCTTCAACACTGTTCAATACTCTTAGAGGATTTTTTTGGAAGCAGGCCTTATTTGGCCTGTGGGTTCGTGGGTTTGGAATCACCAGGTTCACAGTCTCGGGCGGGATCGCACGGCGTTCGGAGCTTTGAGGATCGCATCATGGAGACGTTCTCTGTGATCCCATCGCCCAAGGTCTCAGACACCGTGGTGGAGCCATATAATGCTGCTGGGTGATGGATTTGAGTCCGTTTGAGGTCTCTTTGAGATGGGGTTTGCAGTGTTGCAAGCAATCTTAGGCGCACCCGTTCTTAACCACGATATGAGGAAAGCACCCGTTCTTAAAAAAGTGTACGTCTCTACGACAGACATGTGGCAGAATAACTAGCTGACTGAGAGCCGTCTGACTAAAGGATGGACAACTCCTTAAAGGATGCAGTGATGGAGCTACCTTTGAAGTGCGCTCAGGCAGTCTTGAGCTTTCACCAGCTGGTGGAGAACTCTGATGAGTCCTTCCTTTTGGACAACGAGGTCAGAACGTTCTTTACCTCAGAATGCCCACCAAATTGCTATAATACAAAGATAATTCCAATCACATTCTTTACGGTCTCTTGTTTCCGATCGTGTGGCTGTTTGACATGTATTGGACAGTTTTCATCGAAACGAGCCTGAAATCTTATCCGTCACCTTCATCACTTTTTTGTGCCTTTTTTGTGTTTTTTTCCCAAACAGTTTTCTGTTGGGGCTCTCTCTTTGACAAAAAGACACTGCCCATAGTCTTTGGCCGCGCCCCTGAACCCTGTGTCCGGCTGTTGTCCTGCTGTTTTGTGGCCGGGCTTGGGAACTCTGTGTCCTTCTCTTGTCTTCCTGGTGCCCTTGTAGTCCTGGTGTGGCCACGCTGGCGAACCCTGTGTGCTTCTGACAGGCTCTATGCAGAGAAGTAGAGTCTTAGATTAGAGGTTCCTTTCTAGACAAATGTGCAGAAAGCAGGCGGGAGTTCTGGTAAGAGTCAAGACTGTCTGGAGAATTCGTCAGAAATCAGGACGGTGTTCGTTTTGAGTGAACGTCGGTTGCCTCGCAGAGCGTGTTCGCATGACACCTCCATGTGGCTCAGTCCGACGTTTCGCGCGATCGCGCAAAACAGGCGACCCCGCGAGCCAAAACAGGTGGACCCATGACCCATGTG